CAGTGAGGAAAATGGCGGTGGCAGGGCTCGGGCGCGTTGGGGGCTTGGTGGCGGTGACTAGGCTGCGTGAGTGTCAGAGGGGAGGGGGCGATGGATGAGGGGTTGGGGAAAGGGCGATGAGTGCAGCCCGGGTGAGGGGGAAGGGAGAAGGAAGTAGCCCTTTCCCCCAGTGCGCCCCCCCAGCGGGGGGTGTGGAAGGCCACGAGCCCGGTGACTGGCCTATGGCCTGTAAGTACCCGAAGGAGCGGGGTGGTGCCATCGGTTTGCACCGCCGGCCTGTAGCGGTTACAGCCTAACGGGGAGGGGAGGCTGCCCCCACCCAGGCGCCTCCCACCCCTCTGGTGTTGGGACCATTGAACGTCCTGTACCAAACCAGGGGTGATCTCAGCGAGGGTGGCACAAAGAGGTCGTGGTGGTCTGGGTACCTGATGTGTTCCCTCGAGGTTGTACGTGAGCCTATAGCTACTTTTTAAAGCACTTTGAAATCAGTGAATGAAAAGCATTATAGAAGGAGTAGGTGTTATTAAGTGATCCATTACCCCCTTTCCTTCCCTCCCGCCTTTAGCTACCTGCTTTTTGCCTGTTGGGTAATCTGTCTAGGGTTCTGTATCATGCTTAGCACTCCTGCGTCCCTAGCACAGCACGTGAAGTTAGAGTAATCAGATATACTAATAGTACTAATAAAAATATACAGTTCTGCCACATCTGGGACATTAAAATCTATATGCCATGCATATTTGCCCATGCTATGAGACAGTGAGGTTACTCTGCTGCTTACAGCTGTCTACCCGAGTGTAGAGCTGGCCCAAGGTATATAAGATCTGACCTGGGAGGTAGGCAGGCATGTGTTACATCTTCACTCAGTGGAGTTACTCTGGTTTTATACTTGTTGGCCTGTTGAGCAGTGTGTGGTAGGGAATACTTCTGCACCTGGTCAGGTTTATCTTTTTATTTTTAACTGATGAACTAGTATGGGTTTGTTGCAAGTCTTTGTGCCCAAGAAGGAAAATCTGAGTTCTCATTTTTTTTTAAAAAAAAGTCTGTTGCTCCTTCCCCTCTCTGCCACCCAAAATATGCCCACTTCCTAATCTCTGTTTCTCTCAAATGGAAGCTCCCTGTTAAGATTTGAGGAGGTGGGGACCATTGAGTTGCAGGGCTCTCTCTTGTTTGAGCAGCAGTTTAAATTTCACCACCACTTCTTTGGAGTGGCCAGCAAGGAATTGTTGCTCATACATACTGGCTGGTGGATACAGGAGGGAAATTCCATAAGATTAGGAGGTGTCAGTGGTGCTTCAGCTGCTTCATTGTTCAGTAACAGACTCGGTTGTAGACTAGTGGTTGATCTTAAAGCTTTTGAACATAGGGATGTTAAATATCAGTTAATTGAATAGTCGATTAACCTCATTAATTCTTATCAGTTATTCGACTATTCTGTAGTCCGTGAGGGCAGGCCTAGCAGTCAGTACGCAAAGGAGCCCCCTGCCACTCTGCACTGCTGCCTCTGGGGTGCTGGGCGGGAGCAGGTCTGTGAGTAGAAACAGTTTTAAAAAACAGCTCCCCTTGTGGACCGGGCTTCCTGTCACCCTACACTGCTGCCTCTGATAGCAGCCCCTGTTCAGAGAGGGGTCTGAGCTGCTGGACCCAGCGTGAGCTGGAACTGAGCTAGGCTGCCTGCCCGCTTGCCTCCTAATGCACTTTAAAGGCAGAGCTGCCGCAGGGGTAGGTCCCAGCTCCGGCGCAACCTGGGACTGAGCCGGGCTGTTGGCCATCCTGCCAAAAAATGTATTGGCAAGGGGGGTTGGAAACGATGCGTGTAGTTTATAGCATTTGGTTAATCGACTACACTATTACATCCCTATATGCAGGGCTCACCGAACCGCAGCGAGCCCCGCTCACCAGCCGTGCTGTCCGGTGATGTGCACATGCGCAGATCGCCCGAATCTGGCTCTTCTGGGTTGCAATCTACTCGCCACGGGCAAGTAGATTGCATTATTTGTCGAGCCCTGCCTATATGAGCAGGCTTCTAAAACCACATTTTTGTTGCAAGACCTCCCTCTCCCCCCAAACCCTGTACATTTTCAGTTCATCATTTTACATCCATATACAACAAAACAGCCATCTGCTGCGGTTTGAAGAACAGCTACTTAGTAGATAAGCCACCTATGGGAGTCTCCATCAGATACTGCAGAAGGGGAACTGTTCTGGGTTAATGGTAGGGATGTTAAAAATGCAAAAGGCAGCAATACGTTGCGGGGGTTACAGGTGGCTCCCCAGGAGCCAGTGTGCACATGCGAACCGGAGCTTGCATTTAATATGTACATGGCTACACTTTCACATCCCTAATGAATAGGTGTTGGCCTAGAGTGGAGCAAAACAGGGACTTGAAGGAAAGAAATGGTGTATTGAACTGGAAAATTTTTAAAGCAAAGAGCCTGGCTTTGTTTTACGCAGGAAATATCACATGTATTTCTAACCTACAAATCATTCGCTTGAGTCCCTGAATTTTTCATAATGTGCCATGGTATCTTTACAGCTGTTACTATCCAGGCAGGCCAAGGCTGGGGCAAATGAAGTGGCTGTATGGTATTCATGTGGAGTTTAAGAGGCTGGTTTTGACTGACATGAAACAAACTAGATATAAATAGCTTGGCATCTGCTCATTTGAGAGACTGCCACTCTCTCTGTGCTGTGCTGCTGCCTTTACAATCAGCAGTGGTGCTCAAGCATAAAGTCCTTTCCTAATAAAACAACAACAGAGAGCTGCTCACAGGGCATTCTCTGGGAGGGGCTCAGAACTTTGGAATTCTGACACCAGTTCATAATGAGACTTTGAGCAAGTACTTTGAGCTTTGTGCCTTAAGTATTTATCTTTTATAGATAGGTAAACTTCCTACTATATTTGATGGTATGTGCTTTAATTGATATTGGTAAAGTTCTTTGATGTCCTCACATGAGGTACTATACCGACGCATAACATGATTTAAAATATAAAATAATTATATTACCGATCAAACAAAGATAGTTACTTAGCTACAGATTACATTTAATCCCAGTCTAGTAAAAATACTTTGCTAGGAGCTCTGAAAATCCCATTACTTCCCTGCCTCATTCCGTCACAACCACTTTCTTTTATTTGTTGTATTCTAAACATGTATAATAAAATGTCCTTTATAAAGACATCCTCCAAATCTTTATTTAAGTAGCTGAGATAATTTAATGAAGATAAAATGAATCCATTGCCTTTCTTTGAATAAGAAAATGTCTACATTGGCACCCTTTTCTGGAAAAGGGATACTAATGAGACACTTCGGACTTGCAAATGCCGCAGGGGATTTAAATATCCCCCGTGGCAGTTGCATGAACATGGCTGCTGCTTTTTTCCAGCTCAGGGTTTTGCCGGAGAAAAGCGCCAGTCTAGACGGGATCTTGTGGAAAATAAACTTGAAAGTAGGAATAAGGGATCTTCTGGAAAAGCGTTTATTTTCCGCAAGATCCCGTCTAGACTGGCGCTTTTCTCCGGCAAAACCCTGAGCTGGAAAAAAGCAGCAGCCATGTTCATGCAACTGCCACGGGGGATATTTAAATCCCCTGCGGCATTTGCAAGTCCGAAGTGTCTCATTAGTATCCCTTTTCCAGAAAAGGGTGCCAATGTAGACACAGCCTTGTAGTAACCACTGTTTAGCAACACTCTAAACCAGTGTTTCTTAAACTTTTTGAGACCATGGAACACCAAACAATAATATTTTTTTAAGCGGAACATCTATGAAAATTTTCTTTAAAAAAATTGTTGTCAAACAAAAAAAGACAAAAACAAAGAAGAGGTCGTGGCACACCTGTAAGTTGTTCATAGAACACCAGTGTTCTGCGGAACATAGTTTAAGAAACACTGCTCTAAGCTGAATAGAAGGATTTAGATAAAAGGCAAAAAGACTATATGAAAAAGAACTAACTATATCCAAACTTATGAAGTGGAATTCACAGCCAGGTCAGACTTTCTTGAGTATTTATTGACAGTGGATTTGGTGTATTTGATTTTTAATGGAAGAACTTTGTGATGTAAAAGAGTGACATACTCCAAGAAAAGAAAGATGAATCAGTTACTATCACACTTTTTTTTTTTTTTTAACCCAGGCCTTGAATAGTAGGGTGTGTGCTGAAATTTGTTCCCGTTCAGGACCGCAACCACATGGCTATGTATTGTTCACTATCAGGGTCTTGATGATAAAACTGTTAATTGTTATAGACAGTTAACTGGGGCTGTTAAAGCATTTTACAGACACTAAATCATTTTTACAGACACTAAATCATTAAGCCCCACACTAATACTCATCACACAGGTAGAAAACTAAGACACACAATATTTGTGACTTGTCTCAAGTTCACGGAGTTAGTGGAAGGTAATCCCAAGTGTCCTGAATTCCAGTGCTGTGCTCATATCAGTTGGCTACACTGACTCTTCTGTAACTGTTTCTGTAGCTCAGAAATTTAAAGTGCATGGCCACAATTAATAGCAGACTGTTTGCATTTATATACACTGTTGAGAGTTCTGCTACTCCATTGGGAGGCTATATATACACTGTTGAGAGTTCTGCTACTCCATTGAGGTATTGGGAGGCTTTCTGAAGTGTTTCATGATTGTTTGCAGGAGAGAGACAATGGACTAAATATGAATTACCTTTATAATACATTTATTCTGAGGGGTTTTTTTTTTTTTACCTGATTTAGGCTTTAACATTTGTTTTGAAATTACATGAATTTTGAATTAGGATTTTTTTTCTGATTTAAAAGGAAGTGTAAATTTGTACTCATTTTGAATTCACTGTTAATTTTTTTTCTTCCTTTAAATACAGTTTTGGCTGCTCCACAGGTGACTGCAGTTGCAGTACGATGTGCAAGCAAGAAGAGTGGAGGCAGCTCAAAAAATCTCGGTGGCAAGAGTCCTGGGAAACGCTATGGCTATAAGAAGACAGAAGGTAGGTCAGTCTGTCTGTCCATCCAACTGCTTGACAAACTCTGGAATGTGCCCTCCACAAGTTACCCCATTATCAGGACTGTTATATGTGTTTCAGAGCTCAGATGGGAGCGTTTGTTTGTGACTAAAGAGAGAGAAACCCGAAGGTTTAGCCACTATTGGCTACAACAACACTGCATACATAACCACCATTGAGAGAGTAGCCAGCAGGAGCTCATTCCCTGATCCGCCTACATTCAGCGGAATGAAGTTACCAATAAGAAACAGGCACTGGTTCTAACTTAGCTTGTCTCTGGGGAATCTGCGTGGAAGCACACCCCAGGAGGAAACCCTGTGCCCTTTCCCCTCATCCTGTGCTCAGAAGCTGGGCATTTCAAGTATTTATAAAGAGTAGAATTATGAGGCTTAGTAGAAGCCAAAGTACAGATGCCTGTATCTGAGTGCCTAACAATTAGGGTGGGTTTGCTGATGGAAAAAACTGATGTAAAAGGCAATAAAAATGCCTGCAGCAAATAGAAAATGCCTTGTGCCCTCGAACTAATCTTTTCAAAGGTTAAAACTGCTTTTCACCATTGTCCCTTGTGCCCTCGAACTAATCTTTTCAAAACTGCTTTTCACCATTGTGTATTAAGTGCCCTGTGTTCTCTGATAGGAGCATTTTAAAAATGTTTTTAGAGTTTGGAATCATTCCTCCTTAGGAATCCCAACCACGGCTGGCTTTGTGAGTTCTCATTCTACCAGAACTCAGGCTATTGAGAAGCTTATTCTTTTGTAATCTGAATCCATGTAACTCTGTTGCAGGTGCCTTTGTTCATGCAGGCACTACATTGGCCACCCAGCGGGTGATACGCTGGCATCCAGGGGCTCACGTGAGTTAGTTTTTCATCTTTTATAGCTCTGCATCGCAGTATCCAGAATTCAGCCGTAGCTCTGTCAAGGCTCTTCTCTGTTTCCTCCGTTGCATTTTGTAGAACCTTAAAGTCACTGTTTCATTACCAGACATGTTTTACCATTTATTTGAAACCATATCAGTGCAGGAGTCAGATTTAGTAAACAACTGGAGAGTTTTGACTGTTACCAACATTTGTATGTGAAGTGGGGATGTTAAATACGGTTAATTGAATAGCTGAGTAACCTCAGGAATTCTTACTGGTTAGTTGACTATTCTATAGTCCTTGCGGGTGGGGCCAGCAGCCAGTGCACTCTTGCCTCACTCCTGAGGAGTCCCATGCCACTCTGCAGGCAGGTGATGGTCCATGAGGGAAGTCAGTTTAAAAGCCAGCTCCTTTCATGGACCAGATGCCTATTGCCCTGTGCTGTTGCCTCTGATAAAGAGGCAGCAGCGTGGGGTGGCAGCAGCCCCTGTCTGGGGGCAGGTCTGAGTTCCCAGACCTGGCACAAGCTGGAATTGAGCCGGCCTGCCTGCCCACCCAGCTCCTAATACATTTTAATTGCAGAGCCACAGCAGGGATAGGTCCTGGACCCGGCATGAGCCAGGACTGAGCCGAGCTGCCTGTCCACCCAGCTCCTAATACACTTTAAATGCAGAGCCACAGCAGGGGTAGGTCCCAGACCTATCGCAAGCCAGGACTGAGCCTGGCTGCTGGCTAGCCTACTAAAAAACTTACTGGTGGGGAGAGGAGAAATGCATGTAGTTTATAGCATTAACCTATAAGTTTTTGCTTATTGGTTACTCGACTGCACTATTACATCCCTAGCATGACGTTAATCAGTTCTCATGCTTCAGGGTTAGAATAATGTATCTTTTCCCATCCCCACAGCATGTAGAATTGTTGGCAGTTCCCCGAGTGCAGTGCTTTTTGCCTTCTTTTGAAGTATCAGGTACTGAACATTGCTGTAGCCAGAACACCAGACTAGCTGGACCAGTGGCATGTTCCACTTTGTTAAATGGTGCACAGTGACCTAAACGCTTTCTAAGAGCACACTTCTCCTCTCTTCCAGGTGGGGATAGGTTGTAACAAGACACTCTTTGCTTTGGAGGATGGGATTGTGCGATTCACCAAGGAGGTCTATGTGCCACCACCCCGCAGCGAAGAGACCAGGGACGTGATCTGTTGCCTACCCAAATCAGCAGTGCTTTACAAAACCTTCATCAACGTTGTCCCCACCAAAGAAGTGGGGAGCTTCAAGCTAGTCACCATGATCTGAGGCTCTGCTTCCCCACACAGTAATGACTGATCACCATGACAAACCTGCCACTCAACCAGAAAGAAGTCTGAAGGACTCCTCTAGATCTGAAATGACTTGTTGGCAACTCCAGTTTCTGGTTCCTAGAACTCACTGGATGTAAATTTGAGAGTTACAAAGTAGTCCAGACTGCCCCGATGCTGTTTGTTGAAGCATATATAAAATAAATGTTCTGGGATTCTCTAACAGTGTGATGGTGTTCGTGGAATAAGTTTAAAAACAAAAAGGCTCAGTGAATCTGCCTTTCCCTTCTGGATAGCTGTGCTCCAGTCCAACTGGAAATACTGTACTTTCTGCACAGGAATTATCCAGTTCCAGGCACAGCCATTTTGTTTCTCACTATTCATTGGAACAGTTCCTGTCCTGACTGCATCTGATGTACACTGGGAATTCTGAAAAAGGAATAGAATCTGAATTCTAATCCCAGCTTTGGTACCAGCTCATTCTGTGGCATTGGGCCCCTGCCTCAGTTTCCCGATTCATTATATAGTTGAGAGTTTCTGTCTGTTGAAGAACTCCTTCTAAACAGTAAGAGCTAGGACCACCAAAATGGGTATGCCACTTCCTCTTATAATTTAAAGCAAGATCAGGCTTTGGTTGTGCCAGGACAATGGGATATGCCTGTAATGTGACTCTGTTTTATGAGAAACAAAGGGAGGGATCTGATAGCAGGGACAGTTAGCTCATATAATGACCACAGTGGGGCGGCAACAGACAAAAGATGGGCATCAGGACAGCTATAATCCCACAGAGGCAGGGGTGGAGAAAGCAACAGCTATCTACTCTATATTTGAGAGAGTTTGTAAACACCCCTACGCCTGTTGTGCCTGCTGCAGCAGCCATGGAGAGATGCTTCTCACATGACCGGAAGCTGCTGCGGTGAGACAGGGCTGGGGTTGTTCTCTCTCCCTGGAGCAGCCTGCATACTGAGCCCCCCAAACCAATGATTTACAGGAAGAAAAACAAAAAGTATTTGAGTTAAGGAACTGAGCAACGCTGGGTAAATCTTCTAGTTGGTAACACAGGGATAATGACCAACACTTTGGAAACATGAACTCATAATGTGTGTGAAGTAGGAAAGCAGCTATTCCCATGGGGGAAACTGGAGCATGGGATTTGCTGAAGGCTCCAGAGTCAAGGTTATTACTCAGGAATTAGTGATTCAGTCGATGCCTCCTGGTTTGCGCTAACTGTAATCACAATTTTTAATAAGCAGGAGTGACCTATGTGGGGATCAGATGCTTTATTGAATCCTGTTGTCATTCCTCTTCCTCTTAATGAAAGAGTTTTTAGTATATTGGTAAAAGTAATAAACCTGCATGCAAGGAATTACTGGGTTCCCAATGCTGCAGTTTATTGGCAGGAACAAGTACCAGAAGGAGCTATGTCTATTGTTTGTGGTTCTCCTCAGAGGGGAAAGTCCAGGGAGACCCAAACCACCAACTCTGCTCTCATGATGAGCTCTGGGTGTACTGGCAAAGCTGCAAGCCTCACACAGAAGTTTCATTGTAACATTCCTGTCAGCTTTGGTAGAATAGGGAACTCCAGGTGCTCCCTGTCCAAAAGACAGCTGCAGAGAATGAGAATGTTTAATCATGAAATAGCTTTGGAGTTACGGCCATGTCCCGTCCTGCCATGGTGAGCATATTTAAAAGGGAAACTGCCATATTGATTGTGGTAAAAAATAAACCACGACTTTCTAAAGTTTCACTCTAAAACAATGTGTCTGGATTTTGCATCCCTCCTGTTTGTAACACTCATGTTACAGCATTGTCCAATGGCATAGGAATCAGTGGGGGGGAAAAAAAGGCTTCCTGAATTCTAAAGGTTTTGGTTTTAATAAGTGTGTAAAATGCTCTGTTCCTATCATTTCTAGCATAATGTGATTTTTTTTTAAAAAAAACCCTTATCCATGCCTCTTACTTCCTCAGATTAGTAAACAAGTTATTTTTAAAAAGAGTCCTTCATTCTAGACAGTGCTTGGTCCTGCCATGAAGGCAGGGGACTGGACTCGTTGACCTCGAGGTCCCTTCTAGTTCTGTGATTCTAATTATATTTTGCACTGTCACTCACCTTCTACAAAACTAGACTGGTTGGTTTTATTTTTTTCCTTAGTTTCATTTGGCACTGGCACTATCCTGTTGCGTTTAGGTTTAATACTGCAGAAGAGAATTTTCCCTTCTCTAGTAACCACCAAAAAAAAGTGTGTGTCCTTACAAAATGAAAACCTCATTGGCTTTTTGTCTTTTTTTTTTTCTTTAACACTCAAACCCTAACAAATTTATTCAATCTCCCCCTGACATAAAGGAGGTGATGTGGCCACAGTTTCAAAGCTAATTGGACTTGAGTTTGGAACTCCCAACTTGGGAAGAAGTCTGAGAATATCGTGCTCCTGAGTTGAAGGGTGAAAGAGGCATACCCCAAGGCCAAAATCCAAACAACACAACTTCTGTTTTGTCAGTCTGCTGAGCAGTCATTTCACAGCACTCAGTCACTCCTTAGATATCTTGTGATCTGACTGTCTCTGTTTCATCTACCATATTGTAAACACTTTAAAAGTTTGTCCTGAAATATAAAAAGTAGGTGGAAATCTGAATTGCAATTGCAACATCACAGGGATAATTAGATTATCTGAGCTACAGAGCTCAAATTGCCTCTTGTTTATGAAGTGGTATCAGCTTGGTTCATCTGCCCTTGCTCCTTTCAGGGTGAAATCCCCATTAACACTTTCCCAGCTGCACATCTTGGCACACCGCTCCTGCGGTGTTCTGAAATGCTGCTGTCCTCTGAGTTTTGTTGATCGCATTGTGAAGCATCTGGCTGTTCAATCCCCAGAACCCTAGCCCTTGCTGAACTTTTATCTTGTCTGAACTTAGCAGACTTCTCCACATAGCATTTTATATCCCAGAAGGATGTGAATGTGGAGCACCTAGCTATGATGACAATAGCTCTAGTACAAATACATTCATACGGCATTGGCAGGCCAGGCTTCCCCCTGGTACCTGATAAAGTAAATGTTTTTACAACATAGGGAGTAGATAAGATAAAGCATTTAAGGAAGAGATGCTGAGCTTCGGAGGTTTAATCCTTGGAGTGGGTGGCAGTAGCTGCTGCAGCCTCATAGAGGTGTATTACAGTGAAAGAGCCACCTGCCTTTTCTTCAGGGACAGTCCTTGGCTGGTGGACCATCACCTTTGCTCTGCCCTCTCAAATACAACCGAAATGACTGAGGATTATTCCATGGTCTTTGGTTAAGATAAGGTTACTAGAGTGGAAACAGTGGAAAAGAAATGGCTTCAGGTTTATTCCACCGTTTCTGGGAGAGAGATGGCTGGTAGATAGATCCTGGTATTCACTCAACCTTCATTCTTGTGTGTGGAGTCAGTGGATGGAAATTTCCACTACTTTGCCTGGGATCTGCACAAGTGGTCCTCAATGGTTTGTGCACCTGGATGAAGGCATGAGGTGCATCTCTGCCCTGCAGGAAGGGACAGACGTCCCAGGCCTTGCGCTGTCCTTGTGGCAGAGGGAAGGAGAGGTGTTCCAGGGTTGATTCCCCTTCTACACAGCTGTGTTCCTTTGAGTTGGGTAGCTGATGGAGGACGGGAATGCATCCAGCAATCTGTGTCCGTCTGGTAACTCTGACCCTGCTCCGGGTTCTGGGCAGGCTGGAGGATGACGTAGGGCTTGCTCATAGGGGGGTGGCAGCTGAGATAGAGGAAAGAAAAGTCCATTATGCTGAATAACAATAAACACTGGTGAAGATTACCCCGTTATATAAGAGGTTTAAGTGAGTCCATTCACACCATTGTCACGGCTCTGAAATTCAACTCTCTGGGGCCTCCATTACACCCTCTACACTGCCACCTAGATGAGTGTACAGGAGGAGATTATGAAGAGTTAAGGTGGAAATCCAATACAGCTATTACGGCCATCCCACCCACTCCTACACTGCATCTCTTCATCCCCATCTGTGGCTCTTGCTAAGCAGCTCAGGAGCCTGTCAGCATTTCTACTAAAAACCTTTTCTCAGGAAAATCTTCCATCCAAAATTATTATTTTTCTGTTAAAATAAGATTGGCGTTAGCATATTCCCCATCCCCATCTATAGTGTTCTGTGCACTTAATGCCAGCTGTTGCTTGTGGGTATCTATAAGCCAGACCTGACAATTCAGGTGTTTATACTGCTCCCATCACTAGAAGCTGTGGCCCAGCTTCTCAACGGTATTTAGACTCCTAGCTCCCACTGAAATCAATGGAGCCTAAATACCTTTTGAGGGTTGGGGCTTGAGTGATTAAAACATCCCCACTTCTGCAGAGGAATCAGGGTGAGGTGAGATGTGTGGTACAGAGCAAGGAGCCAGAACTCCTGCATTCTAATCCTGGTTTTACTACCATCTCCCTCTGAGGCAAGGCCCTTCCCTCTCTGTGCTTCAGGTTCTCTGCCTCACAAGGTCCTAGGCCAGGGGTGGCCAACCTAAACCTGAGACGGAGCCAGAATATACCAGTGCACATTGCCAAAGAGCAACAGTTATGACACCAGCCCTGATCATCTCCCCACCACCAATCTCAGCACATCCCGCCCACTGGCAGCCCCACCGGTCAGTGTCTCCTCCTCCTTTTCCTTGTGCCCACCGGCATCAGCTCTCAGTGGGAGACACTGGAGGGGGGAAGTGTGGGTATGAGAGGCTCAGTGGAGAGGGTAGGAAGTGGCAGGATCCTAGAGGGAAAGGTGGAAGGGACAGCGCCTAGGGCAGAGCTGGGTTGAACAGTGAGCACCCTCCAGCCCAGTGGAAAGCTGGCACCTGTAGCTCCCACCCTGGATTTGGTACCTATGTAAGGAGCCGCGTATTAACTTCCGAAGAGCCACATGTGGCTCCAAAGCCACAGGTTGGCTACCCCTGTGCTAGGCAGTTTCATAAGTGTACATCATGCACTCTGCACATTAGGGATGTAACCGGTTAACAGGTAAGCTTACTGGTTAACAGCGACCTGGCTGGGCTGGAGCAGCTCCCCCCATTGTGCGGTAGAGTGAACCAGGCCTGGCTGGAACAGCTCCCCCCATTGTGTGGTATAGTGGACCCGGCCTGGCTGGAACAGCTCCCCCCATTGTGCGGTATAGTGGACCCGGCCTGGCTGGAACACCTCCCCCCATTGTGCGGTATAGTGGACCCGGCCCGGCTGGAGCAGCTCCCCATCCACAGTGTGGTGGGCCCAGCCTGACCAGAGCAGCCCCCATGGGCAGCATGGGTCAGCAAGCCTAGCACAGCCAGAGCAACTGTGGCCGGAGCAGCCTGCAACACAGTGGGCTTGGCCAGGCTTCTGCAGCCCCCCACCCAAGACACAGGTGGGAGGGGCACTCCAGCCTAGCCAGGCCCACTGTACCACACTGTGGGCGGGGGGCCACTCCAGCCCAGCTGGGCTGCAGCAGCCCCCTGCCTGTGGGATCCCAGTTAACATTTAACTTATTAACTGATTAAACAGGATTTTACATCCCTATGGCATATGCAAAGTGCCATGAGGAGGCCAGGCTAAGAGTCGTAGTGTCCACTGCACTGAATCTTTTTTTGGATATAGGCTTAATGGCTCAGCCATTAAAGAAAGGAATCCCATGGGAGGAATCCCACCATATTAAAAGATTCACAGATTTCCATTATGCCCTAGACAGGCCTGGATGTGGTATGATGGAGAGGATGGTACAGCAGACTTATCCCACTGGGGGTGTTGCCACAGGACTGACCTGCTCAACTGGATGTAGAAACTTCAGACAGTCGAGACCTCCCTGGCCTACTGAACAGAGAGCTGAAGGGTTGGCAGGTGAGCAAGCCTATAATTTATGAACAAACCCAGGCAGGGGGGAAATATTCAACAGTCATCGCAGCCAGGAGGGATGCCAGGGGGGAGAAGAAGGACTTGGAATCCTGTTAGATCCCAAAGGCACATTTCCATCTTCAAAGAGACCAGCAACCCTGTGCCCTCTCCCAGTGTGGTTTTTGGAGGCCTTGCTGCAGATGCACAGGGGAGGAATCTATCGTGCGCTCGCAGACTGTGGCATTTCCTGGAGGTCAGTGTGCCTTTCCCAGAGCAGCTGCAGAGATGGAGGAGAGAGGGCCCTACCGATGCAGTGCAGAGGGCTGGGGAAGGCCTATCAGGAAACAGGATGGGACAATTGCTGTGCTTCTAGACAGTCAAAGGCAGGATGCTGGCAGCCTTCCACTCACCTCCTGGGAGGGGTCTGCCCACAGCCCAAACCTCTCGGCAATCATCTGGTGGATCTCCCGCTGCCGATCCTTCTTCCGCACGCTCTCGTAGCTCGGCAAGCGCAGCTGCTCCCAGGGAGGGAGCTGATAGCTGCTGGGGGGTCCAACGCAAAATAGTTCCTCTCCCTAAAAATATCCAGTGCCGCCCGGCACGGAAACATGTCATACAGGTGACTCAGGCAAACAGCGCACCCAGTAAGCGAGGAGCTCTCAGCCCAGGAAATCCGTTCAGGGTGCCCGTGCTCAGAGCACCCCACTGAATGCCCCCAGAAACCAGGGTCTGTGGAGCCCTGTCTCTAAACACACCCTCTCCAGCACTCTGTGCTGACAGTGTCCTTGAGTTCCCATGGCAGCCCCATGCCTGCAGCATCCACGCCCAGGAGATTCTGCCCAGTGTTTCATGCCCAAACCCTCCCTGCAATAGGACCAAGCTCTCTGGCATCCTGCTCCTACAGAAGGGGATTTTATCCTGATCTTGCACCCAGGAATGGCCTCATTCTCTCCCTTGAATCTCGCAATTCCCCCGGCCCCTACACCCAAAGCATCTTTCACTGTGTGTCATGATCTCTTTGCAGCCCTGTTGCTATAACTGGGCCTAGGAATTTACCCTCATTGTAAGCTCAAGTGTAAGAAATTAGTAACACTAACCCATGAGAATTGCTGGGAAAAGGGACAAAGATCAGGCCTGGCAAGCAGGAAGAGTGGGATGCTGTTAGAAATTAGGCCTGATTGCTGAACCAGATCTGGGGAAGATGGGCTGTTTTGCTCATCACTACCCTGTGGGGTCCTGAGTGGACCAGGTGTTGGGAGGGAAATCAGACGACTGCTGGGTGGGGGATGGGTGGACCTGAAGCAAGCTTTATCATAAAAAAAAATGAGGTGCACTGTGGCTGGACTACATGCCTCGGCTGGCCATGTTTCATGAGGCATAAGGGATCGGTTGGCAAAGGCTTTCCTTGCCAACCGATCCGCGTCTTGACTGCCGTGTTGAGCCGACGATCAGCTGAGCCAGCACAATGCGGTGGCCATTTTTATTTTAATGGAGCGGGGGATATTTAAATCCCTGCTTCATTGACTATGTCGGTATGTCTAATTTACATGCCTCTGCTGGCAGAGGCATGTAGTCTAGACATACCCTTAAAGACTAACAAATGTATTTGGAAGTATCAGAGGGGAAGCCATGTTAGTCTGAATCTGCAAAAACATCGAAAAGTCCTGTGGCACCTTATAGACTAATAAATTTGTTAGTCTATAAGGTGCCACAGGACTTTTCGTTCTTTTTGCAAATGTATTTGAGCATCAGCTTTCATGGGCTGGAACCTACTTTATCAGATACACTATGAAAGCTGATGCCCAAATATATTTGCTGGTCTTTAATGTGCCACGGGGCTTCTTTTGTTTTTGCTGAGACAAACTAACATGGCTATACCGTCTTTATCATGATGCTGCAACCTCCACTTTCGCTTGGGACTCCAAGATCCATCATCACCCCATTGGGTATGCCTTGGCTTGACCCTGAGCATCATCCTGACACCAGGAACCCAGGTGACCGCCTTTTCTAGCTTTGTTGGGGTTCTCTTTCCCCTGCCAGTGTGCGTTTGTCTTATTTTGTCTTTCAGGAAAATGGGACCAGACTAACAGCTCCAGTTATGATCAGCTTTAATACCACCTCAAGGACTCTCATAAAGGGGAGGGATTCCTTCTAGGGATATAAGGGTGTAGTCGGCTAGTCAACTACTTGCATCCCCCCTGCTTGCTGCCTCTGTATGCAGGCCGCTATGGGCTTTGCATTTAAAATGTAGTAGGAACCGGGCAAGCGGGCAGCCCGGCTCATTCCCGGCTTGTGCTGAGTACGGGACCAAACCCTGCTGCAACTCTGCAATTTAAAACCCAGTAGGAGCTGGGGGACAGTGCCTGGCCCCTACTGCCTTTTAAATTGCAGAGCTGCAACGGGGTTTGGTCCAGCACCCAGTGCGAGCTGGGACTGAGCCGGGCTGCCTATCGACTAATTGAGTAGTCAATAAAAATTCTATCGACTACTCAATTAGTTAAATACCTGCCTCTTAACATCCGTAGGTCCTTCCAGAACCTGTCTATAGCTAACGGGAAAGGGAGCCAGGGTGTTAAAACGGAAGCTTCACTTACTTAATACTTTACATTGCAAATGTTTTCACTGTTTTTCCTTTTCTTTATCTTTATTAAAGGGCGAACATGCTCTGTAATAGTGTGTCTGCTATATGGTCTCAAGCAGATGGAGGTCTTTGCATACCAAACCCAGAATGCTGCTTAAAACTTTAATGTTGGACAGTCACAGGGTCACAGAAAGACCATTGATGCTCTGGGCCCTTTTAGTCCATCAAAATTAATACAACAGCCTTCTTCCCCAGAGCACTCTTACCTACCCCATCAGGGAAGACCCTGTACCCACAGCACCCTCACCTGCACCCCTGGGTTATCGGTGGCGCTCTCCAATTGCTGTGCTCCGGATTGGGGTCCCATCAGCCGCTGGTTACTGCTGAAGTATGGAGGAGGACGGTCCTACATGGCATGTTGGGAAGGGAAAGAAAGATAAATTAATTCAAGGTGACAGTCCTGGCATTCGGTGTGTGCGCTGGGGGCTTAGGGAGGCATGCAGTGTGCTCAACACAGTGAGCGGATTGCTGCCAGCAGGCAATAACATATCCAGTAACCTCTGCTAGTACCGAGATGGAGTGTGCTGAAGTTGCCATCAGTAACAGCTGGAAACAGCCCTGACCTGTGCAGCTCTGTAAAAAGTCCTGAGATCTGCTCTCTGGGTCTCCCATTCTGTTTGGCTTTCCTACCCCATCCCTAGCATAGGCTAAGTCCCCTATTCATACTCTTTGGCTGCAGACACTTGCTTTGCAATTCCAGGAGCCAGCAAGGCAACCTATAGAAACACCTAGGAGACTATTAAAACCAACATGTAGCACTTTAGAGACTAACAATATATATATATACACATACACACACACACACACATCATCATCATGAGCTTTATCCTATGAATTGGAGTGGAAATAAAAAAAACCAAGATAGATAAATAGATTAGATATAACAACAGAAGTAGTACCTGTCAGTTGTCTGTCTGATGTTAATGAGGCTAATTAAGTGGGCTGGATGTATCCCATTCATAGTTTTTGATGTGAAAATAGGGATGTTAAAGGCAGGGTAAATTGGTTTTGTAATGCACCAACTAGTTAGTCTATGTCTAGATTGCAGAGTTTTTCCAGGATACCTCTGGTATCCTGGAAAAACTATGCCACATCCAGGGAACACATCTGCTTTTTTGGAACAGTTTCCAAAAAAGCGGGCGCATTCTTTAGGCATCCCTGTATTCCTCATTTTATGAGAAATAAGGGATCTTCCGAAAGAGGAGGTTTTTCTTACATTTGGCCCATGTAGACAGGCCAAATGTTGGAAAAGCCTCTTCTGAAAAAAACAGCGGAAAAAGATACGCAAATTGTGAACCGCAATTTGCGTATCTTTTTTCAAAAAATAACCGCAGTGCAGATATAGCTTTAATGTCTTTATTCAAGCTCTGGGTAACAGTGTCAAACTTGTAATAGATTAATTCCAGTTCTGCAGTCTCTCTCTAATTGCTTAGTGAAATTCCTATTGTTAGGGATACCTATTGTTCTTATTCTGAGTCGCAGACCTGACAATGTGCAGCTGTTAGCCTGTGGAGGGAGGGTTGGGTTCCTTGTGAGCTGTGCGGTTATGGGGTTACACGAGGCACCTGACCCTATGTTCTCTTAATACATCATGGATTAGTTCACCTTTATCTAAAGGGATTTCAATGCAGCAATTAGTTACAAATGATGAATTTTCAACTGTTTCCATTAGGAGATGACAAATAGCAATGTAAAAAGATCAAACCTGACATTTTAATTGAATAACTATTAGAACAAAAACACCTTAAAGACTAACAGATTTATTTGGGCAGAAGCTTGCGTGGGTAAAAACCACTTTGTCAGATGCACCTGACAAAGTAAGTTTTTGCCCACAAAAGCTTATGCCCAAATCAATCTGTTAGTCTTTAAGATGCTACAGAACTCCTCATTTTTGTAGATACAGACTAATACAGCTACCCCTCTGAAACATATTAAAACACACTTCTTTGTCAATACATATAACAAACCCAGCTAGCAATGGCCAACTAAAAAAGCCATTAAAACAACAAGACAGAGCAGGGCAGTGTAGAGCAGCTAAGATGGGTAAGAATCAGAGGCGAGAATGTGCCTTTACTCTTCCTCTTCCTGTCTGCAGGGCTTCTGGGGTGAAGGGGCGCAGTTCACTCTTGTCAGGAGCGTTGGAGGGCTCAAAAGAGCTGGGTTCCGAGCAGTAAGAGAGCTCTGTTCCTAGAGGCTGGAGATGCCTGGGGACTGTCTGCACAGCAGGGAGGAGTTGCAAGTGGTGCTGGTCGTTTGCATTATCCACGGGCTGAAGAACCTGGCCGGGTCTTACTGCAGCAGTGTGTTTTGGCTTGACAGAGCCTCCAGGAGCTGCCTCTGCACCACTCTGTTCTTTTGGCAAGGCCTTCCTTGGCAAGTCCCACACTGTCTGTGGCAATCGGGTTTGAAAGCCCCATTTCATCCTCTTCCTGGCTCCTCAGTCAGTGCCTGCACTTCTCACGTATTTGGGGAGGGGGCAGTGGCACTCGGGGATGAATTCTGCAAACATCCTAGCCAAAGTTTTCCCTTTCTTCCCCTCAGGCGGCTGGACACACTGCTGTTGACAGAGGCCCTGTTCTGGATGACCCAGCCATTGCAGATGCCATGGCTGAGAGTATGAGGGGAAAAAGAAGCCAGCCTGAGGTTATTGTTTGTTTTCCAGACAGGCCATAATTGTGTTTCTTTCATAGGTATTTGTGACTAGTCCCTCTCTCACCCTGTGAGATTCTGCCCAGTCTTGGGAAACCTGAGACGGTAAATGGTATGTGCATAGGAACGGAAGCAATACACTGGGATGTGTACCCAGTACGTGCTGCCCTGCCTCGCTGCAGGGCTGGGGAAGGGAAGTTATGCAGGTCCAGTCCAGATTGGAGCTCTATTTGTGGTGGAGGCAGGTCTGTGCTGCCCAAGGGATCACTGACTGGGCACTGGGATGAACTGGATAGTAACTGCCCCTCCATCCTGTTGGGCTGTCCTACCTCTCTCTCTCTACGCTGCTGTGGCAGGTGAGTAGGAGGGGCAGAATGGCCTTATGCAAACAGGCAAAGGGCAAATCAGCAAGACTCTCTGGGAGGCTATTCATCAGAACTGCAGCAGGAAGGGGAGGGAATTACACGCTGTGCTGTGGGAAAAGGCTGTTTTCTCCAACTGGAGAACCCAAACTGAGCAATTCCTCAGTCTTCAGTTCTGCTTTGTCTCCCCTGCCTACATGAAGAGCAGAGGAAAATGACTGGGAGCCTGCAATGACTGTATAGTACAGCATGCGTTCCAGGGTATCTCACCTCAGCGTGGAGCAGTGCATTTTGCACCGATGCTGGGCGCACGATATGTGTGTGTACCTGACCTAGGCTATGAACGTGGGCCAAAACTCCTCTCCCTGTCACCAGTCTCAATAACGAGTGATTTTTGACAAGTCTCAGAAGGGGAGCTGGATTAGCCTGTATCTGTAAAAACAACCAGGAGTCCTGGGGCACCTTAAAGACTAAGATTTACCTAGGCAGTAGCTTTTGTGGGTAAAAACCGCTCTGTCAGATGCATCTGTTTTTTACCCGTGAAAGCCTATGCCCAAATAAATCTGTGTCTCTAAGGTGCCCCAGAACTCCTGGTTGCTTGTATTGATTTCTGAGAAAAGAAAGGTTTCAGCTGCCATTTTGAGCAGTGGGAGCCAGTGTTTTTGAGGAGGGGCAGGCTTCAGACACAGGCCGACTGAGGGAAGGGGAAGGAAAGCAGGCAGATGGGTACATGCCCTCCATATTGTGGGCCTGAGAAGGGCCGATGGTCGGGGGAGTAGCGTGAGACAGAGGCTGAATGCCCTCATGGATCAGCCGCTATCTTGGGAATGTAGATGGGGTCTGGAGTGAGGGGAGTAGAAGAAAGGAAAAGGGCGGGGGCTGCAGGCCTGGGGCTCTGGAGCAGAAGCTTGCTCAGGTAACACAGTACCCCCACCACCTTGGAGACATCGATACTTCCGCCTCCATTGTCTCTCTCTGCTCCCAAGCCTGGGTTGCTAGCTGGCACTCGGGTCGCATTGCTGCAGGGTGGGATACAGGCTGGCTTTCAGTCTGGTCTGTGTCAGAGTCCTCACTCCCATCCACATCCTGGCTCTGAATGGGAAGCTCTTCTCCATCCTTATCCCAGTCACTCTCCAATGAGCATGGCTGGTTGGCCTTGGAGGGCAGGAGGTGAGAGAGCTGGGAGCAGAAGCTACAAACTGGGTTGGGAGGGGGTATATAAAATTGAGTAAAATCCTGTCCAGGTCTTTACAAAATGGACAGATCAGATGCTCAATGCCCCTTGTCTTCCTTGCACTCCTTGTTTTAATGTAGGCAGTCCTGAGCTGCTTGCTCTGTATCCAGAACTAGCAGGTATGTTAGTCGTGACCCTTCGTGGACATCTGCTTTGCAACCTCCACAAACAGCTTTTCTTTATGACGGTCAGACACAAGAGCTTCATAAGAACATAAGAACGGCCGTACTGGGTCAGACCAAAGGTCCATCTAGCCCAGTATCCTGTCTACCGACAGTGGCCAGCACCAGGTGCCCCAGAGAGGGTGGACCGAAGATAACGATCAAGCGATTTGTCTCCTGCCATCCCTCTCCAGCCTCTGACAGACAGAGGCCAAGGACGCCATTTTATCCCCTGGCTAATGGCCTTTTATGGACCTAACCTCCATGAAATTATCTAGCTTCTCTTTAAACTCTATTATAGTCCTAGCCTTCACAGCCTCCTCTGGCAAGGAGTTCCACAGGTTGACTACACGCTGTGTGAAGAAGAACTTTCTTTTATTAGTTTTAAACCTGCTCCCCATTAATTTCATTTGGTGTCCTCTAGTTCTTCTATTTAGGGAACTAATAAATAACTTTTCTTTATCGGCCCTCTCCACACCACTCATGATTTTATAAACCTCTATCATATCCGCCCTCAGTCTCCTCTTTTCTAAACTGAAAAGTCCCAGTCGCTTTAACCTCTCCTCATATGTGACCCGTTCCAAACCCCTAATCATTTTAGTTGCCCTTTTCTGAACCCTTTCCAAGGCCAAAATATCTTTTTTGAGGTGAGGAGACCACATCTGTACACAGCATTCAAGATGTGGGCGTACCATAGTTTTATACAGGGGCAGTAAGATATTCTGTGTCTTATTCTCTATCCCTTTCTTAATAATTCCTAGCATCCTATTTGCCTTTTTGACCGCCGCTGCACTGATGCGTCTCTCTCTCGAGGGCAATGCAAGCCAGGGAGTGAGAACACCTCCAAGCAGCAATGTGACCATGTTGGGGGGGTCCGTGGAGCAGAATCGCTCTAGAGTCACAAGAACGCTGATGCACTCGAATCAAAGAGCAAATGGAC